TCTGTCTAGCGGGCAGATGCACGGGGGGGGGCTATCAATTTATGAAGGGTGGGCAGCAGGAAGCAGTTTGCAGGAATGTTCTTACACAATTCCGCATAGAGTTTTTCAAGTAGATCTGCAATGATCCGCAAAAATTGGGCCACCCTCGCTCCGGCACGACACGAAGGGCAGCTTCCCCTGCATGCGTGGCCTGGGTCAGTGAGCACGACTCCAAAATGTCGAAACTATCAAATGCAGGTAAAAGTACACAACCGTGACCCGGCAGTCAGGTAAACCTTTCTGGGGGGATCCCTGTGATGTCATGGTCAATAATTATCTCTTGACGCTTGAACATCTTGAACTCAGCCGCACCTGCACGGTACGTTTGTCCTTCTACAATCGCATTCCCTCTTCGTTGCGGAACAAAAGCCCTTCGCACTCATGAGCCGCGCAGCGGACTTTTCGCCCGACGCCCTCGCTTGGCTCAGGCATGGCGAGTTGCACGTAGCATGGCTCAGACCTGACACAAGAGGGCACTCGCAGCCCAAGCCCACGCAATGGCTGTTCAAATGCATGATGCGCTTCGGCACTGCTACACTGTGCATCCAACCGTTGGTTTTTAAAAAAAGCAAGCCGCGCATACAGCGCGCATCTTTAGTCCACGACTGCAACAACATCCTGGCAAGCCTGCGTGCGAAGGTGCCGCCCGAGCCCAGTTCTGTTCTCCTGAAAAGGCATGCCTTCTGTCCAAGTGCATCGCTGCCTTGGGTTAAATCAATACTCGGTTCGTAAAGCACTGCTGACCTTTCTGGCCAAAACAAGGTTTTGACCCTTGCCAAAAGTCGAAAACGGTTTACAGTTCAAAGTTTTCGCCCACTCAGCAAGTCACAAAGGCTCTCCCCAAAATGTCTAAAATCCAAGTGGGCGTTTGCCAGGTTTCCAGGTTGCACCGTGTTTGACTCTGGACTTTGGGGCTTTGGGTCCTTGACCTGGAGGAAGCTGGGCGTGCCCTCCACCTGCACATCTGAACTCTGAAAGACAGAGCTGGAGGAATGGGCATGGTCTTGGCCCTATTTCTTGCTTTGGCTCAGACTACTGCAACCTTGAATGCTAAACCCGGAAGACTTTGGGCAACAATGAAGCCAAAATGCGAACCTCTGATTAATTCATCCCCCCCCCAAAAAATAAAATGAAAAGGAAACCGCTCAAATAGAGGTCGGGGAAGGGTCAATTGATTTAGATTTGTTTAGTATTCCTTTGGGAATTCTTGGTTGAGTATTAGTTTAGTATTGGTTTGTATTCCTTTTGGAGCGAGGAAGGGAGGTTTGGGAGAGGTTCTGGATAGTTACGGGGTAAACAAATCAATTTGGGTTTACAAACAAAAAGTATGAGGTGAACTTTGCTTGGCGACCCCCGAAACAATATGTTTTGGTGCTTTCTGTACTATCCCCTAGCTGAAAAGATTAGGGGCAGTTTATTGTAACAACTTTGGAACAAAGAGGTAAGTTTGAACCCTTTGAACGCTTTCAAGGTTGGGGCTTGGAACCAAAGCTTGTTAGAAAGTTGGAAGCTCAAAAAGTTGCAAAGGTTCCAAAGCTACGAGGACCTGGGGGCTGGGTGGAACCTGGCTATGCTGCCGCGTGTGTGTTTTCTCCCTTTACGTATTCATGTATTATAATAATACTCGTTATTTCCCCAATATTTTCGGAAATACTTTATTTAGGGGTGGTTTACTATTCTAATCAGTGCAAGGTCAGGAAAATACTTTATTTAGCGGTGAATCATCAATCATAGGTCAGCAGTATATCAAGCTACTTGCGAGAGAACCCTTCCCCAAGCCGGAGCCACATCTACTGAATGCGCCAGCGCCGCTTGGCTTGAGGGAAAGCAACACGCCCGCTGGTGCTTCCCCAAGTAACGGCAAGTTTGGCAATGCTCCCCCCCCCCCACCCCCCCCCCCCCGCGGTTGGTTTTTACGTCCCCGCGCCTCCTTCAGCACAGCCCTGACAGAATCATCAGCGATGTCCAAATCAGGGCGCTCGGCATCAAGCGTATCAAACTCGTCCTGGCAAGCGAGACAACTTGTGACACTGACATGACTCATCGCACGTCAATGTGGGCAGCTACCTTTTGCAACCGGCAAACTATAATTTTTCACCTGCAATTTAGCATGGAGGCAGCAAAGAAAACCTATGCACCCGTCCGTGCGTGGGCAATCTCGTTGCTTTGTCTTGTTGGAGCACCCCAGGAAGGCCCAGGAGTGCTGAACACTCCGTTTGTTTTCAGATGAGCACCAAATCCGATGCACAAAAAGCACTTCCGGTGAACATTGTAACCACATCACGAGAAGTCACAGTCGCGATTTCTGCACATTGATCGAAGTTTCTGGCTGTTGTATGTTGGTAAGCTGCAAGTGAGGTCCTCTCTGGATATTGCAGGTGAACGGACCAGGATGGATGCCCATGTCATAAACCCTTGTTTGCACTTGGTGCCCTGCATCCATAGAATCCACTGGATCCAAGTGGTTGGCTCGCAACGCGGCCGGCCGATCCTGATATCCGCTGGTTTGGAGTTTCGCCAACAACTGCGACAAACACTGCTGCTTCCAGCGGCATGCACATTCCCTAGCCGGTGGAAAAGAACAAGCCCCGGTATTCCATGACTTGAACATCTATATGAGGCACCTCCAACACTGCTTGTCGACAGCAACTTGGGCTTTGCCGATGAGATATGTCTGCAAATGGGCGAAACCAAATTGCACAACTCTCCCGCAAAGCCAAAGATGGATTGATCCAGACCCAAACTCTTTGCCCGTTTCCAGAACGAGAACTAAAACCGGAATCTGAAGCTTGGGTGCCCTACTGGCCTTCGGAAACATGGAGCAGCATTTTCAACTGGGGCCGGTCCGCCGACGCACACGACCGCCTGCAAATGTTCCAAGGACTCTCGGGCCGCGTCCACGGAATCGAGGGAGTTGACCTCAAGGTGCATGACGGGAAATCCCAAAGAGCGCTGGTCACAACATGCATTAAGAATCAGAATCCCGCCGAAAAAGTGGCAGTAAGAGGCGGCGAGGTTCGCGCCTGGGAGCTTTGCTGCACTGCTGCCAGCTGCTGATGCACGTCCTGGATTGCTGCGAGGCTTTCTGCAGGAAAACAGGAAAACTGAAACCTATATATATTATATTCTACGCCCTGAGGGAGCCAAGTATTTGCCAAAAGCAGTTGCAACAAACGTTCTTGAGAACGGCCGGACCGGAACCATCGTCCAGATTGGCCAATGCTTGCGAACCAATGACAATATTGCAATTCCAACAATTCCACATCCATGGCAAAGCATGCCAAACAATGTGTAGCGACTGGTAACACACCGATCTAGCCGACTTCGGGAGTCCAACCCCGTACAATGCCCCCAAACTGTTCCAATACCCCGTCCAGCATTCCAGGTTTCAACGGGGAATTGGCACCGTCACGCCCACACTCTAGTGCCGCAATCTTTTCCCCACAACCACTTGGGAAGTCTACATTCAACAACGGGCTTGTACACTTCCTTGTTTGCTCTGCTCAAGTTTGGTTTCGGCATGCTAAGCTACACGCCGGCCCTTTTGTCCCCTTGCAAGGCGGCAAGCAAGTGCCAACGACTCGCCGAGCCAGTGCCGGGGTTGGAGAATGGGATTTTGCCAGCCCTTGGATGCAGTTGGATGCCATGGCGTCTGCAAAAAGCCCTCGACTTTGTGGTTCATCTGCCCTACGATCCAATTCATGAACCAAAGGAACATAAACTTCTGGTTGATTTGTAGGGTTGCATATTTGGCTTTATCCGGGGTGAACAATGCTCAGGCAGGTCCTTCTTATCCTTGATTGATTGAATTTGACTTCACATGTGCTTCACACACTCATCTTGGTCTTGTGACCCTGCCTGACGCCAAAACTCCAATGTGCTAGCCTCCATTTGTCAAAGGCACCACCCACACCCATGGCTGTTCTACAAGGATAGGCAAGTGCAACAATCCTGACGAGAATGTCCCTTTAAACATCGCCCCACCCAAAGGAAACTCACGCTAAAAGGCCTTGAAAGCTGACATTAGAAACCTCCAAAGGCGGACATTTCTGACACAGAATCTGGTCATATGTAATTGTTCTTGCTAGCGGATGTGGAAGATACGCCTCGGCCTGCAATCCTGTGGGCTCGCTCGCTTTGGGCATTGGCTGTGGCGGCCGCAGCTTCAAAGGGGGTGCCCCGCTTCAAAAGGCACGCATTTCAGCCTGCGGGTATAGGGGTATAGTACTGGATTTGGCAAGGCTCCCGAGGGCGGAACTGTCCAGCCATAAAGTCTGTCAAATCAAAACAACCAGCGTTTGGTTGCCTTGATCTTCAACTCCGGTAACTCCGGGAGCCTTGCCATGGCACTGCGTCTAAGACGGCGCCATCACAAGGCTGGGGCCAGGTCGGTTCTTTGACCTTTCTCCAGCATGAGACCCTGCAGCAAATGGCTGAAACACCCGAGTCAGACAAATGCCGAAACTCATAGGTACCTTTCTGCCGATATGGCATATGGTTGTCATCAGGCTCCTTGGCTTCCTTGTGGCAAAGATCAATTATTGCACCCAAAGCCAAACGCATGTTGCACCCCAGCCTACAGAGAAACGTTCAAGGACGAAGCTACCGGGTAGATCTTACGCGTCAGCAAGTTTAAGGTGCACGCAAGTTTTGCTCAAGGCCGAAATGTGAAATCCTGAGCGCATGCCACAGTAGCTGCGTGCCGCAAGTTTTGAAACCAACCAGTCCACACATCCAAAACGCGGCAAGACAAAACCGTTCTCTCAGCCCCAGAGAAAATGTGCAGCAGGGCCTCCAAAAGCAAAGGGCAATGCCTGGCAAACTGCAAGATTTCAACCCGTCCGCCAAAGCATTATCTCCTCGAATTGGCTGTACATAGAAAAAACGCTCAACCCCGGTCAAATGCCGGAGGATGGCCCCAAAGCATTGGTCTGAATCAAAGGGGCCTGTCTGTGACCCGTTCAAGGCTTGTCAGCCTTTGGCGGCAACGCCCTCCTCTCCAACTTAAACCAATGACGCAGGGAGCCTTGCGTCTGTGCAAGTCCTGCGTCCAGGCCCAGCAAGGAGAAAAGGTCATGCAAAGTCTCCTCAGGGTGGGCTTAAAATTGGTTGAAACAAGTCCATGGTTAGACCTTCAGAGAGAACCAAAAGGTGTTGAAATGTTTAAACAAGGGCTTTCGGGTGTCTCCTCACAGGCTGTGAGCTCCTTCTTGTAGTCCGGGTTTGGGCTTCCCAAGACTTCCTTGTCAGGATATCCCAGCCCAGGGTCCGTGTTCACTTCACACATCCAGACTTTCAGCTTTTTGTCCAGCATCAAGTCCATGCCGAAGATCTCGAAATGCCGATCCGGCATCACCTCATCCCCTAGCTTATTGCTGTCATGGCAGTGGGCACATGGTGCCAAACGGCATGCTTTTCATTTATTCATACATGTTCACACCCCAGTTTTGAGGGGGGTATGTCAGCTGGCGAAATCATGGGCTTTCCGAATCCTTGCCTTGTAGCGGCGCCGGATGGAGCGGGAGATGTACTCTGCGGTGTCCATGGAAATGTCCAGGATCTGCTGCCAAATCATGGCCTTGTCGAACCTTGGTACCCGCGCCAGCGAGGCTCGCTCAAGACCGGCTAGAGCCCTTGATGCCAGAAAGGCGAAAAAGGTCTGTTCATTGGACAATCCTGCTGAACATCAGTTGAGGCAAGAGCCACGCTTGGCCACTGGCATCAACATGCGATCCCAAGCATGCCAAAACAACATTAGCTGTGTGAAGCGACCCCCACTCCTTGTAGCAACGCTGGTGCCTGTTCGCACCAAACACGTGGTCGCTGACCGTGCCGCGACAAGCACTTGAACTCTACTGATTTTTGTGTGTTCCACCCAAGGTAATTGTTGAGGCTCAAAACCTCTAGTGCTGGGGCCAGGAACCATATGGAACCCAAGGCTTTTGGTGCCAGACCGAAGGGCGTGGGGTCCAGGCTCGCCAGGTGGGCCATGAGTTGCCTCACCCGGATCTGCTGACCTTTTCCGATGACCGGCTTCTCCTGAAACGCCCAGCACGGCTCCCGGGGTCAAAGGAAACAATCCTAGTATTATGCGCTGCCCGAACGTACTATGTAGACGTACTATGTAAAGACATAAGCCTAGATATTCATACGTAGTATGCGCACACAAACGCCATAAATGCACCACTGCCCGTCCTTTAAAAAGTTATCCTTGTTCTCTGGCGTCGCATTGAGGCCCATGTTTGTGACATGAACCGGCGGGTCGAAGTGAGCCCCCAAAGTGCCGGAGCTCATCCGGTAGGGCTTCGTGGCAAAGAGGCACTGCCCATTCCTCACAATGGCGGCATTGGATTAGAAAACCTTCTTGACAAACAGAGCACGTCTCCCGCAAAAGTGCTAGGATCCCGTCTAGCATAAGAGACCACGGGGGTTCCTATCTGTCCATCTGGTCAGCAAAGGGCTGCCTGCCTGAATTTCCCAGTCAAACATCACCCCACCAAAAAAAAACTCACCTCAAATTGGCCCAAATGGTGACGTTTGAAGCCCCCTAAAGAACCAGCCGAAGAAATCGTGTGAGTCTTCAGGGTTGTTGCGTCACTGGAGGTGGGCAAAACCACGAAGCGGTCGACAGGTCGGATTGCTTGCGAGCGGGGCTCTCTTGAATGAAGGCCTCCAAAGGCGACAAGTTCGTGATGACCAAGTGGATCCGCATGTGGAACTTGTAGCCACCTATCTGTGTCTACTATGACAGCCTCAAAATCAGCCTCCAAAATGAAACTTGGAGAACCCATCAAAATTCAAAATGCAACCCAAGGGGGGGCCAGCCTATCAGCAGCGGATTCGCGATGTATTGCTGCACAATCGACCTGCTGGATTTGGTCTCAGTGACGGCTCGCCGCAGGCCTGGGTCCGTGGCCTTCCAGGATCTAAAGGCAAACTTAGCCACCCGACGGAAGTTCTCCAAAAGGTGAACCAGAATCAGCCTCTCAGCCTAGCTGGCGAAACATGGCAACAGGCTATTCTGTTGAGCGGAAGCTTCTTTTCCAGCCTTCCCCTGCTGTCAGTGGAAGGCCTGGAGAGAGTTGTCCAGAACTCATGAATGACTAAACCGCAGGTGCTCAGCCCCTTCTTGCGGTGAGAAGCAGGTTGGGTTGGTGCAACTTTCCTATATAGAGGTGATTTCAGTTTGACCAGCCCAACTAGTTCCCACGCTGACAAAGCAAATCCGGGGCCCAGCCTCAGAACAAATAACCTTTTGATCCCCAGGTCATCCACTTGTATTCTCCTATGGTCGCTCACCATCCAACCACGCGATGATGTTCCAAAAGCCCCTGCCTTCCAGACGCAAATGCCCGCACCCCCGTAGTCGTTCCTGGGCTTGCCGATCCAGAGGCTCTTCTGCTGGACCCGGACCTCCCGGAGGAAGGAGGGCCTGTCCTCCGGGAGGATGAAGGTCTTGGGATACCAAGGCTTGTCCTCAGCAACCCAAGTAACCTGCACGATGCAAAATGGTCAGCTGCGTCGCTTCTCGCAACAGGGAAACTGCGATTCGGACCCTAAACCCTAACCCTGCTGATCAAGTTTGAGTTCTCGCACCCGTGAGCTTGCCATGTGCGATCATGTGGTTCGGACATCTCTTTTCAAGCCGGTCCAGGCGAGACGGTCTTAGTTGGTGCCTGGAACCTAAGAGCCCTGATCTAGATTCATCCCATCGCATCCAGGTTGTCAGGGGCAGCTTTGAAGGCGCCTGCGAAAACGGCAAATCCGAGGCGCTTTGAAGGCCTTGGAGAAGTTGGTCTTAAAAAGGATCCGCTCGGTGCCCGGGAACTTGGCGATGCGGTAGTTGCCCGGCTTCCCCGGTAATCCTTGGCCGTGCTCCAGCACCAGCTGCACAAAGTCCTGCTAAAGGAAAGAAGGGGTCTGTGAGAGGCGACGTCCAAAACGTTCTTCTTTGTTATTTTGGAACGAACTGATCCAAGACCAAAATAATCAAGAATTTAGAACTCTTGAGGCAACAGGCTTGTTTGCTTTGCTGGACTCATCGGTTGAGTTGATTCTTTGCAAGAAAAGCGCAAAACACACATAACAATAAGTCACATCCCTCGATTTTAAGGCTGTTGTTTTTATGCGTCGGATTCTCTCCGTCAATGATGGATAAGAGAGGTGACAAAGGCTGGCAAAGCCACAAAAAACACTCCAGCAATCCTATCGGAAACATTTCGTAATGACCACACTCCTGATACCACATCTTCAGCTCCCCGTCCCTACATTTCCCTGGGGAAGAGTCACCACACCGTAGATATAATGTGCCATCCATGGTCATTGTCTGCTGATGTTCCAAGTGTTGACGTTCGCAGCGCGCGCACTTGGAACAATTGTCCCGCTGCTGAACTGTAGCGTGTGCCACATCGTTGCCATTTCCTCCTTTGCTCACCCCCAACCCCCCAGTTTGAAATTAGGGGACAATGGTTATACACCCGCAAATCTGCGGTGCTTTAGAGTTCCCCGCCAAAAAAAACAAAAAACAAACGTGAGCCAAGCCATGCTTGACGGAAGCGAAGCTCTCCTCCCGGTCCCGGCACTGGTCCCGGGCGGTGCCCGGCACTCGGTACGGCAGGCGCCCGATCATCCACAGCGCGTGGCGCGGCAGCTTCAGCGCCTGGAGCCGATAGCCGTCCTCCTGCAGCAGGGCGGGGGGGGGGGGGTGGGGGTGGGGGGGTGGGGGGAGCTGGGGGTGGGGTTGGGGATTGATTCATCTGGGCCCCTTAAAAGATACTAATCACGTGTCCCAGCTGATTTAGAGCATCGTAAAAGTGGTTGGTGTAGTGTACCCTGTAGAACACTCTATTCAATGCTCCTAGTTTGAATGTGCTTAAACCCTGTGAAAGGGGGGTTGGGTATCCTCAATGAGGATTTTGCAGGATTCTTGGAAATATGTTTAACCCAGCTTTGTTGAACCAATCTCCTTCAAAACGCGTGGCCCATGTGCTTGAACCTATTTTGCCCAACCCTGTCCTGCACCCCGTCCTTGCCAAAGAGCTCTTTGGGCGTCTTCCCCCTGAGGCAAGCTTCCTTAGGGGCTTGACACATGGCCGCATCTTATGCCCTTAAGCAGGCTTTAGACGAAACCTGGGGCACCAAATCCTGGTTCTCTTTCTTTTCGCTAGCTATCTGTGTCATTATCTTATATCACTCTCTGTTTCTTCGCTCGATCCAGTATTTCGCTGTATCTCCCCTCCATTCTTTCCATCCCTTTCCAACTTTCGGCATCTTTGCCTTATCGCTGCTTTCTCCACGGTCCAAAATTCCAATCAGCCGAGTCTCGAACTCTTTGATGTAGAAGGTACTCCTCAGTCGCAAGAGTTGGGTCATGTTGGGTCCATCTTTGGCTACCCCACCCTACCTCAAGGGGCGGTTCCAAGGTCCAGTTCCCTTATCAAACTCCAACTGCCATTTCAATCCATTTCAGGGGCCACCCCCATTATTCCCAATTCGATTTTCAGGTGCGGATCTTTGCTTCCGACCGACCTCCACACGTCCCCGCTGCCTCCCCCCCTCCCCCAACAAAACCCAAAAAGCTCCGCATGCCATGGCCATAGCAGAGTCCGGGCTTCATTTGGCACCCCTGCCACCTTTACTTCTTAGACATCCCCTTTGCGCCTGCAAGGAACCTGTCTGAATTCTAAACCCTGGGCCCGGGGCTTGTCGGTATCCTCGTCATAGACGCCGTGGCAGGGGCCACAGCTGTAGCGCCAACCCCTGGCCCTCAGCACCTCCCGCAGCATCGGGCCATAGTTGATCTCGCAGAAAGGCTCCGTGGGCGCGTCGAAGGCCCTGACGTGCCAGAACTAGAACCCCCCCCCCTAACCCCAAAACAGTTGAATGGAATGGAATGGAATGGAATGGAATGGAATGGGATGGGATGGGATGGGATGATTCACAAAAAGCACAGTCATTCCAATGACATTCTCCGAAGGGTAGGGACCCCGTCCCTCCAAAAGTCTGTCTAGACATGATGGCTTTAAAACGTCCATCTTAATGCACAAGCAAGACCAGTGTTTTTTTTTCCTGTGGGTGACTCATTATCTGGTGCTTATTCTTTGTGTGTGCGGGGCCGGTAAGAGAAAAGTGAAACACGTTTGCCACTGATACGCTCGCTCTCACCACGCCTCAAATCTGACACTGGCCAGGGCTCACCCACCGGATCGCTGGGCCGGAGAATCTCCATAGGACCTCTCCTTAGCTGCATCGAACAACAAGCATCGAAAAAACATAGCGAAGGGCATGACTTCAACTGAATTCGAGTCTTCCCATGACATCGAGATTTCAGCAAAGCCTTCCAAGAGGCAGTACTTCAAGCAACGACGAGACCTCTTGTAAGGCCAAGTACGGGCCAAGTGGGTCCTTGAGACATCTCCACTCTGCAAGCATTCAAGCCTTGGGGAATCCTCGGCAGCTCTTGTGTCCTGGTAGCTTCAACTCTTGCCCTCTTGCCCGAACTGACCTAATCTTTTTGAGGGTTAAAACTGAGCGACTGCCGATCAGCCTCCAACAAATTCAGTGCTTTGACCACTGCCTTTGCGCATATGTGAGCCGTGCATCTGTATATGCCAATCTTCGCAAAATGACTTGCCAGCTGGGGTCTTGCAAGCAGCCTTGCTTCTCTCTCTCTCTCTCTGCCGTTGAAGGTTGCTTCCAGTCTAGAGCTTCCAGTTTCTTTTTCATCTACCTTGATTCCAAAAACGAAGACGACCTTCAAACACGAAAGCTCATTGTGAAGTTGGTGCCTTTTGCATGGCATTCCACTCCAATACATATGCTGTATACAAACATTTTTCGTGGCTCATTTGAGTTGATGCGACCTGGTTGTCCGACTGAAGCCCAGCAGCTCAGCTCCATCTCGCCTACGCTTCCGTGGGCCCAGGCTCCACGCTGCCCGCCTCTTCCGCATGGTCGACATGGTCGAAGGAGCTCGAGAGCTTAAGCCAGAATGCTGCCATATGACTCGGTTTTTTGAAGTAGGCCCGTTAGGGGGTCTGGGAAAATTTACAGAACTTACCATCCCTTTTGGTTTCCTTTTGGGCGTCCAAAGCGTATTCTTCGAGCGGCAATATGATTTGCACACTGTACCGCACGATGAAGGGGGCGACGATGAACACAAATACCCGGGTACTACTGTCTGTACTGCTCTGCTCTCATTGCCTCTTTGATTGTTCATGAGGACCACTCGAAAAGCTGCCAACGTCAAACCATGGGAATTCATACTTGACCCTTTGCCGTTAGACAATGCAAGCACATCCTCAAATAGAAGCGACATGTGCTGCCGTCCGGCAGTTCAGTCGCAAGAAAGCGCCTAGGCCCAAAGGAGGCACGCTTAAGGTGAGTTTTAGATCTGCAATGTTCTCTGATTTTTAGGAGCTCTGGCTTAGGATACTGCTGTATCAACCCGCCGTGACGGAATTTCTGATGTGACTGCGATCAGAACTGAAAGGCACTCCAACGCCAGGCCTAGCCAGAAAGAATGCATGCAACAACCTGCAAAGAGGCATGCAATACGTGGAGCAACTCTTGAAACACATCCTCTATTGCCCAAGGAGCATGGATGTGAAACTGCGAAAGGTTATGCTTCAGGGACTGGGGGTAATGGAATAGCTGAAGGTCAAACGGTCAGTCAGTTTTGGCCAACTGAGATCAGGCAAAGGATGCCGCAAGCTGGGTGACCTTTATTAAGTGGCCTCAGCGTCGCCTCATGGCCACTGACGTTATGCAAGCGGAAAGCACTTTGTGAGTCTCCTTGAGCTTGGCGGACAGAAGCGAGACAGCGTGCTCCTGACCACAATGCTTGATGGGCGATTTAGCGGGCAACGTGCACGTCAACCTTAGCTGCGAAGTTGAGCCAACAACTTAGGCACTGGGCCCTTAGATGAAAGCGACCTGCAAAAGGCATGCCCGCAGAAGTAATGCCTGGTAAACCCAAAACTAGCTGGTTTACGTGTACAGTTGTTTAAGCCCTTGGCCAAAAAGCAGCACAGGCAGGCAGGCAGGCAGGCAATCAAGCATCCAAGAAAACCCCCTATAGATAGGACCCGTCCTGGTGCACCTTTGCCTCCTGAAGCTGGTGGGACAATCGCTGTACTTCCGCCTCAGGCACAGCTTCCCTTTTAAGCCTCTGGCGCGAACACCTCCCCAACACCGGAACTTCCAACGCAAAAGACACATCATATAGTCCATGGACCTGGTTCGGAATGCCAAAAGAATCAATATTAGGAACTCCGGCCCATTTAATGGTCGATTCACGTTTGTTCCTCTTGAACACGTCTCAACCAGTGACGTTTGCGTTTGAACACGGCCAGTTATACGACATCAGAGGGTTGGAACCCCTGTCCTAAAGGACTGCCGGCAAGCATCTAAGAGCCAGGCCGGCCATCAATCCACAAGCAAAAGGTCAGAAATAGCTGAATGCCCGCCATTCGAAACGCACCCATTTTGAAACACCCGGGGGATTTCCACGGTTTCAAACATAATCATGTCACTTCCGGGGCATTCATTCCACTTCCGCGGCTTCGCCGAGCCGCTGCTTCCGAGACGGATCCACCTGCCCGCAGCTGCTCATAAATGCCCTCGACGCGGCGCTTGGCAACGTCATACCTGAGACATGAGCTCGCATTCAACTTTGCAGATCTGAAAGCACCTCTCCAAATGCCGGGGTCAGGTGAGTTTCTTTTGAAATCAAAGATGTATCCCGGTATCCCTTTTGACGATGCACTGGTTTGGCTCAAGGGCCGTCGTAAGCCTATGGAGTGGAGATCGGGCCAATCTACACCGCGACTTCGGCTGTGCGTGAGCCTTCGCCCGCCGTGGTAAGCCCACATCGATATCAATGACAAGCACGTGCTGAAGTTTGGGTAATTATGGTTCCCCAGCCCCGTGCATTTAAAAAAGACTTGAACGTCGAACCGAGGCTGCCGGCGAAGCACCTGGTCCAGATTGCGCACATGTGTGCCGCAGCTGACTGCATCTAAATGCAAGATTGAAAATTGTGCAACCAAACTAATGTAACCAGCATGAGGGTAGGCCGCAATGATCCTCTAATTGGCCAAGAGCAACGGATGCTGGTTGAGAATCATTCTTGACAGGCAAATGCCTTTCAGCGCTGAGCGCCGCACGCTGTGGCCTTTTCTGTGACCTGCCAAACGAACAAGAAGCACACACACACACACAGTTTGTGGTCGTGTTAGATTGTTTGAACCAAGAGCTTCGCTAGTAATCGACCCATTGGCAGCTCTGAATGTCAACATGTGCCTGACCAAATTAAGCTGCCAGCTTTGTCTCATACCCAACAAGCTTCCCGACTCCTCAAACAGCACAAATCGAAAGTGATGACGATGTGGCGCCGCTTGATGCCCCTATGCGAAGGGACTGTCCCTTTTCCCTCCGACTTCCAGCCAGTACTTCTTTAAACGGCCCCTTCAATCCAATTCTGGCAGCTGCCAGAACCCCACCTCTGATTAAAGACAGCCATCTGCCTCCCCAAATCCAAAATTGATAAAACATGTTAATGCAAATTACAAACTCTATTGTCAATACTTCTGCCGCGAATTCCCCGTTGCTTTTCACAAAACCTCGAAAAAATATCTGGACACTGCATTAATGCATATGTTTAAACAACTCAAGGCTTGACAAGCTCGTAAAGGGCACCCCTTCAAGTATGACATCACCCTGATGATACCAAACCACCTAACTAATCTCTGGGAGAAAAAGAAAAACACGGCAGGGGACCGCGAAGGACCGGAGACAACTGGAAAAAGGGGGCAGGGAGACGAGAGGAACACGTGTAGACACTTGGTTCATGTTGCCGGCTGAAAAGCTGACTCAATACCGCGAAGCTGTCGTTTGTAGGGTTACAACATTCACACTACGACACGGCGACGAATAAGCTGCGGTTTTGGTGCATGCTGCCAATAAAACGGCCAAAGAAACACCTTGTAGTGCTCTGTGGGAATGACGGATGCGTTCTGGAAGACTTATGCAACTGAATCCAGGCATTGTAAGTTCTGAAGCTCATGTTCCCTTACATCCTCTTGCTTGAGAAGCGGCGAGGGGTGTCGGAAAGCCCGGCCTCCAGCTTCATCTTTTGCATGCGCTGAGCCGTGACGGCCTCCGCCTTGATCAGGCGCTCCACCTGCAGAACCCCCTACAGTCCCTACACATCTGCAAGGCAATCTTCAGGTGCTAGGGACCTATTACAATTGAGCCTTGTCTCTCCCGGGGCCAGAGTGCAATGAAGCAACACAAAAAAAGCGCAAAGGAATGCAAGGAATGCAAAGGAATGCAAAGGAATGCAAAGGAATGCAAAGGAATGCAAAGGAATGCAAAGGAATGGCGAAGGTCGACTTTGCATTCCTTCGCCATTCCAGGGCGGAGGCGTAAGTTCCTGAGGCGTGTAGCCTTCCCGGGTGATGTGTGAAGGGCGGGCAATTGATTCGTGAGTGAATGCCGACCAACAGGGAATCTCCAATGGATCAAGACGGCAATTGGGCTGTCCTGGGCACCAACCTGGCGCCGACATCGTGTCCAGTGAGGGTGGGGGTGAACCCCAAAAAGCACACATCCCAGCCCAGGAAGCATCCACAATGAAGAAAACGTATTTTCATAGTGTCTCCCTTTTTTGCTGACCCTCTGCAATCTCCACGTCGACTCTGGCCTCTGCATCTGTGTTGAGAAATGTGGCCTTCAGCTCCTTGGCACTCCGCATCAAGGCCTCAGTGGCATTTCAAAGCCGAGGCCCATCCAGGGTGGTGGGGGGGGGGGGGTTCCTGGCTAGGATCTCATTGACATGGCCCGCTTGCTCAGGCAGGCTTCAGTCACTCACATCCCTAGACCCCTGTTAGATGCAACTCCCCAGGTCTGCGGCCGACATTTGCTTGTTCACCTTCGCCACCTTCACCTCGCAGACCGGGGCGGGAGGGGTGCGACGCTGGGGGCTCATGAAGTCTCAATCAAGTCAGAGACATTTCAACGTCCCAGCATCGGACAAACAAACGTTTAGGCCTGCGAACCCGTAGCATTCATTGCTTGCAAAGAGGGGTCTTGCATGGTCTTGCCATACTCAAGACAGACCAAGGCACAGTTTCGCCGGCGCGAACTTTAGAGATGGCGTTGTGCAAAGCATTGAGTTCCTGGGCGGGCCCCTGGCAGCTTGGGTCTCTGGAATGATTGTTTGCAGCCACAGGCAACAGGCCTCACGGCTCAAGCGCTGTATTGAAAAGACGGCGAAAAGTTGTTTTTGGATTTGGTACGTCGAAAATCCTTATCAACAAAACAACCTATCACTTAGCACCCTCGAAAATAATTGGCACTTGCTCACCGCCGACCCTACAGCAAACAAGAGCGAAACCGATACTGAGCATATTATTGAAGCAGTACCACCTCACCCTTGAGCCAGGAGCCTGCAAGAACATGTTGTTGTGTTTGCCGCCTGTATTCATGCTAAAAATAGGGGACTTTGTGGTACTAGGGAGCTGGGGTTTCAAGTGCGATTGTGCCTGGCAACCAACAGCCAATAGCTAACCATGCCAGCACAAACAAACAAAAGCAACAACACACACACACACGCACGCACGCACGCACGCACGCACGCACGCACGCACGCACACACACACACACACACACACACACACACACACACACACACACACACACACACACACACACACACACACACACACACACACACACACACACACACACACACACACACACACACACACACACACACACACACACACACACACACACACACGGCCAACGGAGCCGAGAAGCTCAGCTAACGTGCGCTGCTCTGCGTTTTAGTAGTCAAGGTTTCAGTTTAAGGGCGATGCTTTTCATGCCCCTTCTCTTACATGTCCAGCCGATGTGCCCTTAATCTCCTACAAGCGGACCCTTTGACGGAAGGCAAGGTGCCGTTGCAGCCCGGCGGATGTACTCCTTGGCCCCTGTCTTGAGGCTGCTGATCTCCGAGGTCAATCCTGAGTGGCCCAGGTGAACCTGGTGGAAAAGTGTTTTTTTGGGTTGACAATGCGTGAACATCCACCAAACTTAAACAAGGGAACAAGGGTGACACTGAACAAATGTGTCTGAGGCAGCGAAAGGAAGCCAACTCAAGATCCTTCAAGCCAAAGCCAAAAATTGGACCAACTCAGCTTTCCCTTGACTGAACGAAGCTGAAAAGTGGGCATATTGCCGGATTCAATCAGGATTGGCGCTGCCGATTTTGCTTCGGCCGCTGGGGCCGCGTCGGGACCGGATGGTGCCGTATTTTTTGGACTGCTGCTCCATCTGGTGCTTCTGCGCCCTGAGCCGCGCCTGAGCCGAAAGGCATGCAGCGACGTCCAGCCGCTGGTTGGGGAAGAGTAGGGGGTTCCCGAAAGATACGCCGCGTGCCGAGCTGCCAAGGCGAAGCTGCGCTGGGCTTGAGCTGAGGCTGTGTTGTGCTTTTGCTGGTACTCCTTGAGCTCCCTTAGCACGCTACCGGATGCGCATCCAAGTTTCAACTGCCGCGCGTATTCGCGAGGCTCACAGGAAAGCTTCCAAATTCATGCCCCTCGGCCAAAAAGAAAAACAAAGTCTCAAAGGGCTGATGATGAGCTTATCTCCTCTCTGATCCAAGCGTCAAGGATTCTTGTTCCGCCTCCTCGGCTTGCACCTACAAGTGCTCTCGGCAGGATGAATTTGAAAGGAGCCAGGGGGGAGGGGGGCAGGGTTGGCAACCTAGGTGGGGCCAGCACCAAGATGTCCAGCTTCATGGGCGTTTCAAGCCGGTCTCAAAGCATCGCCAAATGAGAACCCGCCTCCTTCAGCTTGATGTCCAAGGCCCTTTGTTCATCTTGATTCTCCTTCTCTGCTGCCTGCGGCTGAATGAAGCCAAGCACTCTGCCAAACGAGCTGGCATGCTCCAAATGCCCACGCCCGCTGAAGAGCAATAAAGCATTTTAGAACGCAGTGGCAATCATTTTACAACACAAAGATGCAATCCCTTACCGAACACCGTGCCTGCTCTCTTTTGTGTTGGCCGCGTTCGTCTCTGTCTGTCATCCAAAATGTGTCTTTGTTACAGCTTGTGTGGGTTCTGGAGCAGCCCCGTGTTAGAGCTGTTCACGCCTGAGAAATGATCAGCGCACCCGCTCAAGCGCAACGATGTATCCAAAGCAGGCATATCAGGATACATGTATGAGGCATGATGAGGCGATACGGAAAACAGCCCCTCAAGTGCTCACATGGAGTTTGCTGCGAGCATATCTGTGAAGCAAACATGTAAAGCAACCACGACTCCCTCACCAAAAAGACACCCACACCCAATTATATTGACACAAGTGACCGGCTTTGGCAAGGATTGTAGGCTAAACGTGCACCACGGCCCCGCCTTGATCAGGTCAGCGACAGCAGTTGAGTTGGCCTGCAAATGGGTCACTGGCGGATCAAGTGGCCCAAAGCTTGGGGAGACTTTTCCCTCTCTTTCCCACCTTCCCTCTAGTACACGACTCTCGGCAGCCACAACCAACCCAAGACGGGGCCAAAGGTGCCAGCCTGTTGCCAGCAGGCGGCGACAAACTAGTGGGGAGGGGAAACGGGGGAATCAGTCAAGTTCTTCTCCCCGCGGCGAAAACATAAAGTCCAAGCCATCTCAACCAGTCCAAAACCAAGCAGCAATGGGCCAGTGCAAAGCTGTACTATACCAATTCGAAACCAGTGGGACGCGAGACATATTCTGCTTGATTTGTTCTATTGGAGGCCTTACTCAGAAATCGAAAGTTTGAACAACGAGGGGGTCAGGAGCGCGGACCACCCACGCGGACCACGTTTGCTTGGCCAATCACCATGCTGGTGTTACCCCATGTGAATGAAGTGCGCCTTGCTTTCGCTCTCTTGCAGCAGAACTAGCTTGCTGGTTTTGTTGAGCATCTCCTGTCAGGCGTGAGAGCGCCCCGCGCGCAAGGCTGCAACTGCAAGAACTGGTTTGCTTTTTGTAGGCAGCCCGCCAAAATGGGATTGTTTTAAAGGGAAACCAAGCCGACACCAGTTTTAAGACCAACCCGCTGTGCGACCACACCCCTCTCGCTGCACGTCCTTGGATTGGTTCAAGGACGCCTTGATCTTTGACATGACATCCTCGCCCAAACGCACGAGCATGAGCAACTGTGTCCATGGCTACCCACATGTTACATGTTCCACGGGATGCCAGCTGAGCCCACCTTTTCCCGCTGCCCAAAAAGACCATAGAATGGTGCCCTGCTCCAAATCAGACGACTTGAAAACGGCCGCCGCTCCTTGACTTCGGTTTCGCCTTTGGTCACCTCCTTCTGCAGCGCATCAACCTTGGCCTCCTTTGTGTGCAGCTGCTGCCTTGAGGCTTCAATTCAGGGCTCGGGGGTTGTAAAATAGCGCCAGGCCCTAATATCGGAGGTGTCCCATTGTTTTCGAGTGGAAACCCACCCAAGGAGCTTCATGCAGCGAGTTTTTCCCTGAGGGTGCAAAACTGCACATGCAGCGTTGGATCAGAAAGATCCGCTTGGAAGCGATCAGCTGGGAATGACAAACTAACTCTCCTCACAAATGCTATGCTGCCTACTAGCTATCAACAATCATTCCACTCTGCCCTTACTTGCTACAAAAATAGCGGAGCGTAATTTCCTGTCCAAAAGTGGCCTTGTAGGCAACGCAAAAACAATGCTTGGACAGGATGCATGAGAGCTGTCACCTTCTGGCTGCCCACCGAGGCATCCTGTGGCACGTGAGGGCGGAAGCCATAGCACCAATCTGGCTTGCTGAGGCGACTGTGTGATCGTGCTAACTTCGGGCATGTTCAATGGGAAAGAAACCCACAAAGAGTGTGTTTGACAAGTCAACATCGGACAAAGATCGCGAAGCAACCGCAGGTAAGCCAACATGCAAGTGATGAGTTCGGCAGGCTGGAGTGACAAGCTCACAATACCTCGGACTGACCCCAGGCTGCCTTTGTTGCAGACTTCCCCAGGAAAATGCACAAACAAACACATCAAGGATTGATCGAGTCTCTTACAGAATCCCGCCATGACCTGCCTTGTCAACAAAGTCCTTGAGCGTAGCGGCTGCTTCATGCACGGATTCCGTCTCGTGCTGCTTCCTGGCAAGCTCCTTAGCCAGCTTACTGGCAGCGGGATCTAGCAGCGCTGGCTTAGGCCCACAGACTCCTTCGCTTGGCCGTGCTTCATGGGAGTTCTAGCCATTGAGCTGTCGGCCACATCTACACACTGAAGGGGAGTCCCTTCGCAATGGCGTGAGTTCCACTATGATCATGGCAAGTTGCTTAAGCCAACAGAAAATGGCCAGCCTGCCTGACCAACAGTGTGCCTTGAACGGACCCTAGCTATTGGATTCCACTTGCCGAGCTGCGCCGCTGAGGCTGCCGAGCGAGCGATGGCTGCTCTTCAGCTGATCCTCCTTGGTGGCCAGCTGGTCCGTCAGGCGACTCGCCTGGCCAAATGGCGAGGAGAGGGGGGGAGCATGATAGTCTCCTACAGCATTACGCCCGGTCTCTCTGCCACAGCAGCCATCTTTTTAGAAGAGGCTACCAAGTAACAGCGTTCAGTCACACTAATAATGGGCATGGTCCTCAAGTGAAATTGAACGGACGGACATCTGCAACTGAACCCAACAAATATGCTGCTTGAATCTTGATTCCGGCGAATGGCCTCCTTGGTGATGTCTTCGGCATGCAAACGCTCTGCCTGGCAGGGAGACGAGACATAGTGACGTGCAACTTGGACAGTGGCAAGCGGGGGAAGGCTTGCAGCTTGGGGCTCTTACCGCAAGCTTGATCCCAGTCCTCCAGTTCACCCTTCTCCTTCTCCAGGAGGATGGAGCCTCATATGGAAAGGTCCGCACTTGCCGAAGTGGCTTGCCCGTCCCAAGTCTGGCAACGCTTTGGCTGCACTGACAGAAGTAGAAAGCCGGAGGAAGCAAGCTGGTTGGCTAGCCGATAATGATGATGTTGGTGGTTGTGATGATGACAGCCCCATGTGGAGGGGCTCAGGATGGGTAGGAGTCCAAGTTTGACTCCTGAACATAAGCAGCCAACAAAGCAATGAGCAAAGGCACGCACCGTCAACATGTGCACCTCCACTCTGGCAGGTCAAGTGGCTGTTTCCGATGGCAAAGTTCATGCGTGCCAGCTCACCCTGCTTGCTGAGCATTCGCTGCTGCTCCCTCTGCGCCATGTCTTTGGCGCGAGCAGCCCTCGAGTTGCCAGTCCTGGCACGTCCCGCCCCTCACTCGCATGCGGGTGGCTGTGTCGGTACCATCTGCGTCAAGAGCAACATCTTGGGGCCAGGGCCCACCCGGGGCAACACCAAAACCATCGCCATGTTTGGGGCTGGTCGCCTGCCCCCACGCCCGGCACAGAAGAGACACGCGATGCCTGGTCTTGAGCTTCTCCTGCAGCATGGCCGTGGTGTGGCCCTCCTGGCTCTCAGCCTCAACACGGCAAAACGAAGAGAAGGGTTCCGCTGGAAATCACAAGGCTAACAGTGCGAAAAACAAAAAAATGGTGCTTTCTTGGCATGGAACTCCTTCAAATGGCCCTCTACAAATACGACTTGTGTAGGCTTCTATGACACTTCGCTTGGGAGAGTAGGCGGCATGAGAATCAACCCAATTATGCATTTGTATATAATATATATATATATATATGAATCCGTGAGAACCCATGGCCATGTCAAGGCTGCTGTGACACCCTTGTGACAGTTCTGGAGCAACCACTCAAAAGTGAAGAGGGCAAAGCCCCTGCAAGAAACAAGACTTGTCCTTGGGCTTTCTGTCAGGGACAATCAGAATTGTATTTTGTGACTCCATCTCTCTAGGCACTTGGAAAAGCCATGCTACACGAAGGGTTGCTTCCATCTTGGAGACCTTCGAGGCCAAAGGCGCCACGCTGCTCTCAAAGAAGCCCCATCAATTCCAAAGAACGGAATGTCGCAAAGGATGTGGGTGTCTTGCTTTTGGGGAACCCCTTTTGCCGCCTCTTGGCTGGCAAAGAAGGTTTTAAAGGCAAACCAAAAGGAAAACAGCCAGTTTGGGGAGTTCCCTGATGATGAAAACAACCTGCGTGTTTGATCTAATTCTGGCAAGCCCTTGTACGCTCAATAGCCGGGCCTTGATGAGCGGGCCCGCTTGCCGACGAGACTTCTCCACCTCCGCCCTGGCAACTGGAAACATTCCAAAGTTCTGAAATCAAAGGCAGTGCATGGCTCCAAACCACCATGTGTGCAATGATGAAAAACATCAGCAGGAGCACACTTGTGCTCTCAAAGCTTTTTGCCAAGCCGCTCTGCCGATCTGACGCGCTCCTTCAGCTGCCGGATTTCCGACCTGCCCGTCCATCTCAGCATCGCGAACTGGGGCTGAAAGGTGGGCTTAACAGAATTAAACACACATTCCAGACTAAATGGGTCAACCAGTGCCCCCTTTTCATGGATGTGCAACGAGGTCTTAACATGTCTTAACCCTGTCAAGGGCTGGCCGGCGTGCAGTTTCCAGCCTGAAGTGCTGCTCCTGTGCGCTGAGGCTGTCCATTTCCTGAACCGACCCAGTGAACATGCACCCTAGCACATTACTGGGCTGGTGACGGCGCGACCCCAGCAGGTTTCGATCGGTCGCTAATTGTCTCTTGGCGGGTAGGTTCTGTGATTGGGCAATTGCTTTTGATCAAACCCTTCGCCTTGGCGCTACATTTTCGAGAGCAATGGTCGCACGAGTCGCATGGCGCGAGCATTTCCCCCTCCCCTTGCGGAGACACTGACTAGTGGTTGACTGACTTCAGGAAGTCAACAAACAAAACAGGCTGCCCCTGAAAAGGTTCGAAGTTGCACACGTTCCCACCCCAAGCCTGCGAGGACCCTAAGAAACCCATTTACAATCCCAAACTGGGTCCGCTCCTCTCTGAGTAACACGTGTTTCCTTCTTGCTGTCCGCGCAACTTGAGAAGGGGCAAACCGAAAGCTGTATGACAGCTGTACGGGACCCTCTTCCTCTTCCGATAACTTGAAAGTAGAATGAACGAAATCTAGCTACTGTACAATTGTCCTCTTCGTAGGTATCGTCCGTGGCCCCTCGAAACTTGTGAACCAATACTGGCAAAATGGAAAGTCGAGGAAGGCGCCCAAAAATGCATCAGGCACGTTAACGGCAGCATTCCATATAACCAGTCGGGCCCTGAGAATTGAACCACGTGGAGCATGTAGCGTGCCACCCCCGTAATTATTCTGGGACAACCGAAGGCCCGCTGGCATTCCTGAACAAGGCCTAGTCAAAGAGCAGCTAAGCAAAGCCATGCCCCCTGTCTGACTCTCAACGCACATATTCGTGTTCGCTTTTTGGGATTGTGCTTGGTTTTAAATGAAAATCAAAGGGCCACCAGCCATTTGAGGGGCAGCCTCCGAATCCTAGTCCGAAGCCCGGAGTGGGACACAATTAGGGAACCACCATCTTGCATAAGGACTAAGGATTGACCCCAAACAACTCAGAAACAAGGACACGCCGATGCTGAGACACGCTCATATGCATGTTTTTTTTTTTTTAACTCTTTGATCCTTTACATCTTGGAGGGTCCCATGAAAATTCATAGCCATATCTCCGCCCAGTCTCCGCACTCTGCTGCTGCGTTCTGGTGCTCTCAGTCTTCAGCTCCTGGGACTTGGGGAGGCCACCCGCGCAGCAGAAAATAACATGGGTGCTAAATAAGAAAATCCATCACCTAGTTTGGTTACCTTTAGGGGGCATTGTCAGGAGGATGGGATATGTTTAGCACCCAGTGAATCATAAGTCACTTTTACGTCCCCTTAAAGTACCAGCCAAAAGAAAATCATATTAAGACGGCCGAAAAGGCAATGCTTCAATTAGCATCATATGATAAGTGAAATCACAACCACCAGCAACTCATTCCTGGAAAAAAAACGGCGTTCAGCTAAAACCAACTCTGGCTCCTCTCCCAGGGAGCGGTCCAGTGACAGCCTCAGCTGGGAAGCAAGAAGCGGCTTGTCCAAGCTTCACACCTGGGAGACGCTGTACAGGAAATCCGTGGATGGGACTTACGGCGAAATTGGGTGGCAAAGGCGCAATGGCCGTCATGTTACATCGACGCCACCAAGATTTGAGGACACTGGTGCAAAGAGTCCCGCAAGGGCAAAATCACCAGTCACGCAGGGCTGCCCCTCACTGACACGGGAAAGGGAGACGCGCCAAAACGAGACCAGCTGACCTTTGGCCTGGGAACCACGCAGTCCGCTCACTCTCACCCGCCAACACCGGATTTTCAGCTCAGTGACAGGACAGCCGACTGGTTGATGCTGCTGGCATCCAGGCTCTTCACCTCCACACAAGCGGAAAGAGATCCGCTTGGGTATGTGTCAAAATACCACCAAATGTGTAGTGGTCATCTTGATTTCCCTTTGTACCAAATCCCTCAAATCCCTCAAGACAAACAAACAAACAAACAAACAAACAAACAAACAAACAAACAAACAAACAAACACACAGACACACAGACACACACCGAGATTCACCTCCCGAGTCGCTGCTGCACAGGCATTTGCCAGTTGCACGAAAGTGCGAAGACAAGCATAAGCCCTGCCTCCCGCACAATCTCTTCTTTTTCTTTTTCCTTAGGGTAAGCATACCGAATCCATGCTCTTGAGCTGGCAAACAGGCAACTGCTTGAGCAAACCCAGCACGCAACGCAAAGCTAAATGCCAGCTACAAGCTCATCCAGCAATACAGCCATGAACTATGACAAAGCACGGCGACCTACCAAGCCTGCCTCTTTGAACTGCCAAGCTTTGCCAACCCCGTCATCTTTTGCATGTGTTTTTTTGCGAAAATAGAACGCGCTAAAGGCACTAAGCTTAAACCCAACTGTCCCAGAAAGGAGACCTCCGGCGACCTCCTGTCAAAGGAAACGGCTTCAACCAAACTAACCAAACAATGGCACCCATGCCCTCGGTTGCAAGGGGCTGCTCGGATGAGCTGATCGTTGAGCTGCTGCATGCGCTGCACCTGCTGGTCTAGCTTCTCCTTCTTGGCAAGCTTTTCCTGCAGTCATCACAGTCTCATCAAATGGAACCGACTGGATGCCTGGCTTGAGATGCAACAAGTTCGCTAGGGCCCGCCCTGGACTTCTCCATCCCACTCGCCGACTTTGGTCCAGCACCAGCTGCACATAAAGCAGTCCGCACTTTGACCCATGCAGGGTCCCAGTTTGAAATAACTGCTAAAGTTTGGACACTAACATGTATTTTCATCGGCCGCATGCTTACAAGCGTGCTCTCAAACATGCGCATATGCCAAATGGACGAACTGAATGACTCAAGCTGCACGTCGGGGCCCTTGTCCTTCAGCTTCCCCTCCGTCTGAGCTCGCTGCTTCTCCACCTAAGAAAGCTCCCTAAAGTCAAAACTACTTTCGGGTCGCAGTGGTTTCCCGTCAAACGTCATTCGGAGGCTAATTTTGAGGGTTCCCGTTTATGCGCCCAGTCTTAGTCGCTGGATTTGTTGGACAACGAGGCACAGGGTGGCTTATCCGGAATCGTGTTCCTCCGATCGCTGACGTCGCGAACTCTTGCTTGACAAATCAACATGTCTCTGCCTGGACTCTGGGTGGTTCCCGTTGAGGACCCAGCTGTGTTTCCGGCGCTGGCTCCTTTGTTTTGGGCAGCTATTCATTTCTGACTTACACGTTCGAGGGCCTTGTACTTTGTTTTGATTCGATAGAACCGGATTTCTCTGTTGGGTTACATGAGCTGCAGATGCGTTCTTGGACCTGCACATGTTGAATGCAGTTTTTCAATTTTCAACTTTGTCCTTCATTTTAACGCTCTTGCCGGCAGATTTGTTCGTAGTGGTTACGGCAAGGCGCAGTCACCTCGGGGAGAACAGAGAACAGCGCTGGTCCAACATCAATACGCAAGATCCTTATACCGGATGCGAGTGGTTGGCCTTGTTGCAGCGGTGTCCCGCCCAATTCGTCCCTGGGAGAACTACGCGGGCAAATTTGTCACTGCGGGCACCGCTTCAGGGGACAACTTGTGGGTAAAAGCGAGCTCACCAAGACAAAAGGTCGATCCTTTAGTAGGTGTCTTCCTCATGTCCGGCTTGTGAACTATAGTAAACTGAATTTAGAGCTCGTGCCCGCGCCAATTGTTTGCGGGGTGTTGATATGTCAAAGGCCGGATCCACCAACCTGATCAAAGCCCCAAAACCCAAAATATGCATCAGCATTGAGCCATAAGCACCTGGGTGGTCGCCAAAGTTCTGGCAAACAAATGCCAAGGCGCCATGGAAAGAATACGCTTCTCCGCTTGCAGCTCAGACTTCAAGGCCTGCGGCGTATTTCCCTTGGAAAGGTTGCTCCTTAGGAAGGGCCCGAATCCAAAACAAAACCAGATTGCTGCTTGAAAGCAGGGTGTTCAAACAACAGCCGCAAATGTGCGGGGCATGGGGGGACTCAAGTTTTGGAACGTTTTCAAATTGCTTTGCCATACACCTTTCACACAGAAAAGGACGTGTCCATGCAAGGCATGACCCTGGCGTGGCCGGGAAAAGAACATGTTCGTGTGCATCTAGCCTTGCAGGCGAATTGGACGAGTGCCAGACCCAGATGCCAGAGTTCTGCGTTCGGACGTTTGACCCTTCACGCCAACCCAAGCTCGCACAGCAGCAATTCAGCAATTACTTCCCCGAAAGCATCCTCCAGATTGGTTGAGGAAATTGCACCCGCGCTTGCCGCCATGTTTGCGAAGGCAGAAAGGACATCATTTGCCCCAGGTGCGTTCAAGCAACTTGCTGATGTCTTGAGATTTGAAACCGAAAGCAAGCGCTATGACGCCCCAACAAAAGGCACACATTTGGGTTGATGCCCAAAGTCAACGGCTGAATTCGGAAAGAAACCAAAGGCGCTGCTCTAAGGCCCACGCACACCCCGAAAGAAAAATGCCCCCGCTAGTGTATATATATATATATATATGTTTTACACATACTATATATGTATATGTATATATAGACATACCGGAATCCTCAAATAGGAAAAATATAGCCTATTGCAATTGTTTTGCGCATTTGCTTGACTATGCGGAAATTCCGAAACATGCGCGGAAGTGCAACTTACGATGTCTAACCAGCCCTGGAAGTCTTCTATCTTCAATACAGGATGTGCTAGTGCTAGAACAAATGTAAATCTAAAAACCATGTGTTTAAGAGGACCACCCGTGCATGTGGCCCTGCAATTTTACTGCAACAAATGACCAGTCACCAGTCTGGCCAGAAACCTGAGTACTCCAAGGAGGGGGTTACCAGAAAACAAAAAGAAACAGTGTGCGTGTGTGCATGTGTGTGTGCATGTGCGTATCTCTCAATGAACCACCCAGCTGCAACCTCTGATTTGGGGGCATGTCAATTTCGGGCATCCTTAGATGACAGTGCGGCGATCGGGGCATCTGCCCATCAACCCTTACCCCGAGGGCGGAGCTCGCAGCTGGCCATGGCCAGGTTCTGCCTCGCCCCAATGCGCGCGGAGGACGCGGCCGAGAGCGCGAAAGGGGAGGGGGCCCTGCTTTCCTTTAGGCGACTCTTTCTCCCTACGTAAATAGAATGCATGATGGTAATGAAATGAGAAAAGCTACTATGGTTTAGGAGATGCTTGGGGGTTCAAAGTCGTTTAGGGGCGAGTGATTGCTCAACCGAGCTCAGGATTTCAATCCACCGATATCATCTGGTGATGTGTCCAAACCTAGAGACCATGCTGGTTTGACGCTGTTAGTTTCATTGTCAGCAACCCAACAAGTTGAAAGGGTACCAACAAACCGCGGCCCACACCACCGTCCACGTTTTCCTTTTTCCGGGAGGAGGGGCGGGGAGCGAGGGGAGGCCCCCAAGGTGCCTCCAACTGACAATAGGGCATCGCCTTGGACATGTCGTGCCCAAATAAGGGAACCCCGCAAAACTGTGACTTGATGTGACTTGCCTTCTGGTTTCCCTCCAAACCAACCTGAAAAGGGAACCCGCAAAACAGACAGACACACACACACACAGAAACACACAGAGACACACACAGACACACACAGACACAAAGACAAAGACACAAAAACAAAAACACACACACACACACACACACCCATCTCAGTGAAGGGCAATACTGCTTCCGTGCCTGCGCCGCCTGCACTTCATTGGTGGCCAGGCACAGCAAGGCCAAGACACGGAGCATGGCCTCAGGGTGTCTCAACATGGTGAACCCTGCGCTTGATTGATGTCTAAAAAAAGACCAAACAATATTAATATAGGCTATCTGCAAGGTACCCTATTCTGAGAAACACCCACCAGCGCAAGGTAAATGAGGCGCACAGGGCAGGCATCCGAGTTAATGGGGCCTCCTCTTCACAGGCAGCGTTGAAGCAAACAACTACTACTCGAATCCGTAGTTGTCATACCTAGGCTGGAAGCTGAAAGAAAGCCACAGGGAGGAGCCACTGCTTTGCCGGCGCGTGAACACTGTGCTGGACTGCAAATTCACCCTTTCAGGCCAAGGAGCGGGGGCTGGCGTCGCCAGAGCCCGCGTCGCGGGTCCGGGGCTCAATCTCTGCAAATATTGTGTCCTTTCTCCGTGCTGCCTCGGCCTTCAAATCTGCCTCGCGGAGCCCCCGACCTTGACCCCAACCTGGCTGCGGTCTCAAGGAGTCAGCCGAGCCAGGCAAGCCTGGAATTCCGCAATGCGACTCTCCTGTCACGCTTGGACCTTCTGAAGAGAAAATATGCCCCAAGGCAAAGCCACTGACTGCGGCATGAACCCTGCGGTTGCCTATCCAAGTAACACGACACCTGGACCGGACCTGTTCAGCTGTCCGAGGTGTCCGCCGCCAAGGTCTTCAGCTTGCCTTCCACGCCTGCAGCACGGCCCCCCCTGCCAAGTAAGAACCAAACACTCTCCTTTCCAGCAATCTGCCGTGCATATTGGTGAAGGCAACTGGAAATTAAAAATCCTTGCGACTATCCCAAAGCTGGTGAAACAATTCACAGCTCTTCCCCAAACTTCTGTCCAAACTTCTTTCAGGATGTGGGTGCCGAAGCCCAGCACACGGCGATTGAAACCCAATGCGGCTCGGATCTCTGCCGTGGTTCATGCGCTAACCAAATTTGCTCTAATACAGCATGGTTGCAGTGGGCAACACATGGAAACCCCCGAAGCTTCTATAGCCTGAAGGCTAACGTGCACTGCCAAGCACATCCCGAGGTTTGGGGAGGAGCTTGCAACATCGTAAGGCAAAAATACGATGGCACCGAGGCGGGGACGCCATTCCACGGCATCCTTCCCCCGCTGGTCCGTCAAGTGTACATCAACCTGATGCATCCGCAAATATCTGGCAAGCTCGCCGGGACAAACGTCGGCCCGCCCAAACTACGCGCGTGAAAGGGGCTTCGGCCAGGAAGAACTCCTCCAAGGCCCAGACAGAGTGAGAAAGATAAGCTTTTATGCAAGCATCTTCCTGTGACACTTCAGGCCCTAGGTGCCTAGTTCGCTCGAATGGCATGGCAAGTCGCAGAGTTGCAGCTTGTTGCGGCCAAGCTGCGACCCAATTTGCATCTTTGAGCGATACGCCTCGGGAAGCATGGCGATCTGTTGCATTGATGTCCCATGAGCTTTTAATTCTGGCACGCCAACTCACCAAGTATATCCAAAAATGACAGGTCCTTAGGGAGGACCTATCACTCAGAACACAACACGCTTCCCTGGCGCCAGGTTCCATGGCCCAACAAAAAGCAACACACGAGCAACAACCGAGAGCCCAACACAAGACCCTCAAAGTTTTTTGCTTCGAGGACGTGCCCAAGGCCTTGACTGAGGAGCTGCTTCGCCTGAGTGCCGAGTTGGGATGGGAAAGCCGACATCAAGTGGTGGCTTGGATAAATAGGGATGCACCCCCAGTGGGTTCCGCTCAGTTGATAGCACCGCATGTGGGTGGATTACATACACGGCTGAAAACCACACACACCGAAGGATTCAATGTTTGAACAAAACGGGATGCGTGCCTTTTTGCATGAGTTCTGCAAAAACTTGGGTCTTAAGGCCCCAAACTTCCAACCCAAACCTCCAACTAGCAAGCACCACACCGTACACCCCAAAGCCAAACCAAAGGAAAACACTCCCAGGCGTCAGCATGGCCGGAAGGGATGAAGTTCCAAAAGCCTTAACTCATTTTGGTAAGGATGATGTCTAGCATGCCCACGCTTCGTCTTAGGGGGTCCCCATTCTTTTCAACCATTGAGCTTTTCAACAACCAGGCCTTCTCCCCAGGTTTCGTTCGATTTCAAAAGGCAAACCTGGAAAGGCTGGGAAAGCTACCAATCGAGTCTTGAAGCTCTGGCCTGATCTGACCGTCGGTCATCTACAAAGTCCAGGGACATCTTGCCCAAGGCCAGCTCGAACCTCAGGTCCACGAGCCCACGCTCTCGCAAAAGCGATGGCAACCTTGGGGAGCTCTGAGAATCCAGTGGAAAGCCAAGATCCTTCCAGTCAGACTCAAACCAAACAGAAGGTTCTGGATTTGAACATTCACCGAGGGGCTGCTAAGGGCCCTGCTTTTTCCAACCCCCGGACCTGTTTTATTCGACCCCCGCTTCTTCCTTTTGGTTCAGAGGGTCCAAAAAGCAGGTTGCTTGCTGCTTTTGGTCCAAGCTTCCCAAACGGAGGCCGGGATGACATGAAGTCTGAAGTCCCTTTCTTTTGGTATGGGCCCAAAAACACGGCAAAAGGCTCCAAAGGACGGCCCCCCGCCCCTTAAAATTGGGTCGGCAGCTTGAGGCGCTGTGGCAAGTCGACGGCCTGCGGAGCCACCGATTCCCGACAAGAAGCCAAGAAAGGCGGGTAAAGGGCCGCTAATGTCTTGCTCTGATTGGTAAGCAGGGGCCCCGGCTCCTAGAAATGACAGTGACTGATTTGTTCAGCTGAGTGTTCGAAGTGATTCTTTTAGAGTCGGGGTACAGGAAGTCTAGCAATACTCTTGATGAATTGCTGTTGTAGAAGGATCAATTTCCAGGAATTGACCCCCAAGTATTCGGGGTAATGCTACCTGTAAAAGGAGCAATTCTACTTGTAAATTGGTATTGAATTTGGATCAGGTTCAAAGAAGCTTGGCAATGCTACTTGAAAGGGAGGCTGTGCCGGAGGCAATCGGAAGGGCAATTCTACTTTTGAATTGCTTTTGTATTCGGTTCTATTTCCAGGAAGTGACCCAAACCACAATTCGCTTTATCTAGGATCAGTTTTGTTTAGTGCCATATGACTTTG